TCAGAACTTGGACAGTAATTTCCTCTGAGTTTATCCAAATAACCATGCACAAAGCAGGTATTGGCCGTGATTAACTTGGCAAAAAAATCCCTTCCCAAATGTTGGCTAATATGCACACCCTTAAAGAGTGAAGCTAATCATTTCATATTTACAGAAGAACAATAGGATAATGGCAGGAAATTTTATTTGGATGGGACCTTGTCAGTCCCTGAGCTATAAAATCTCGCTGGCAGCTGTATCTCCAACAGAGGACTCAGGTTCTTTCTGACAGCGTCCCATGCTACACGAGCATTACGCAAGCTTTACTGTGCACATGACTCCTGTTAAGATGTAGATTTTTATTCCCTCATCTAGAATGGGGACCTTTGATTCTGTATTATGAACACTATGAATATCACCAGGTGATGATGAATTAGCTACTTGGTAGACCAAAGTTGGAGTGGCAAAATGATTGGCTATTTCCTATAAATAAGGAACAACTGCACACTCACCAGGTGAGGGACAGAAAGGTCTTGACCACTGAAGAAACTGAATATTACCAACTTGAAGGGACATGCATAAATGAAGCATGTAAGCGGAATAGGGAACACAAAGAGAAAGAGAAGCAGGCCAGTCCTACGTTCACATTATGCTTCTTCCTGTCTCTCTGCATGACTCCTGTTATTTCCAGCAAGTTCTACTCCCATTCTATTTCATTAATAAATCCTTTAACACTACCCCAGCCCCAATATCCTCAGCTTCCCTGAGGGCTCACAGCACATCATCTTTTGTATTTAATCACACATTGTCTTTTATCACTATTGCTTTTCTCTTGTGTTAGTTCTGCCTATAGAAGGAGAAAGAAAATTCCTAAAAAGTGAGGCCCACTTCTCATCCTCCTTGCATATCCCTCATAACATCTGGCACTGTGCTGAGCACAGAATGGATGCTAAATAAACATCACTTTTTCTTTAAATACATTTTATAAATGAATAGAAATTCAGAATTTCCCGAAATTTAATAATTAATTAAAAATAAAAATTAATAAGTATTAATATTTTATAACAAAATACACACTTTTGAATATTTGGCAACTAATGAAAAGTAAAAGGAAATAAATATTTCCTTTTAAAAAGCAAATAAAAGTAACACATAATCCTACCATCTAATGTTAGTATTTTGTCCTATTTTCTCTCATATGTGTGTATGGGGAACAGGGGCCTTAAAGTAACTCCTTTATGAAATATGCTACATTTCCCTCTTCACATTATATAAGCAATTTCCATACAATCAAAAATACTGAAAGCTTCGTTTTCATTGTCTGCGAAATGTTCAGAAATATTACTATCATTCCTTTTAATGCTAGATGCAAAGTTTATTGTAAATTTTCATTATCATAAATAATGTTGTGATAAATATCTTTATGCCTCTTTGTCTATTTTTTATTATTTCCTCAGAAGTGGGATTACTGAGAGAAATAGTCTGAAAATGTGTTTTAGACAGGATAACACAGTGAGAGCAATGGCTTTGGAGTCTGAGACTCTTGGGTCCAATTATAGGTTTTCCATATACTATATTCAAAATCTTAAGAAGATTATTTCATCTCTTTATATCTCAGGCAGTTTCGAGCATTAAACGAAAGGTGTATTAAATGCACATGCAAAAAAAAAAAAAAAATGCACATGCAGGGGATCCCTGGGTGGCTCAGCGTTTTAGCGCCTACGTTTGGCCCAGGGCGCGATCCTGGAGACCCGGGATGGAGTCCCACGTCGGGCTCCCGGCATGGAGCCTGCTTCTCCCTCCTCCTGTTCCCTGCCTCTCTCTCTGTGTGTGTGTGTGTCTATCATAAATAAGTAAAAAATCTTAAAATAAAATAAAAAAATCTTAAAAAAAAAAAAATGCACATGCGTTGTGTTTCACAAATTAACCACTAGGGGACAACAGAGGTTTCGGACGTTACCGCTGTGGTTCCCGAAAGGCAGCCGCACCCGGGAACCTGGAGACCCGCTGTTTCTCCCGATGCATCCCAGAACTACTTAATCAGAATCTCTTGGGGTGGGGTCCAGCAACCTGTTACAATGAGTCCTCCGGGCAAGTCTCGTGCGTTCTAAAGTTTGAGAATCACTGATCTAATACATGTTTACATTAGTCCCTGATTTGTTGCCTGGGCAGAAGGAAGAGCCGAAGAACAATTCATACACGAAAGCAATTGTAATTTACAGGTTAGTAACTGCTACAACAGCTACAACAGCTGAACTGACGTACATAATGTATATTGAGTCTTTTGTAGAAAAAAAAAAAACGTAAGATTGGGGGCACCTGGGTGGCTCAGTAATTGTCTGCCTTTGGCTCAGGGTGTGACCCCCGGGGGCCTGGGATCCAGTCCTGCATCCTGCTCTCTGCACGGAGCCTGCTTCTCCCTCTACCGGTGTCTCTGCTTCTCTCTGTGTGTCTCTCATGAATAAATACATAAAATCTTAAAAAAAAAAAAAAAAACCTGTAAGATAGTTATTTTTATTCCTATTTTTCAATGAACTTGCCATTAATGACCTGCCATTTAGTCACCAAGTATAGTCTGTATTGGCCAGGGATTTACCCACATACTACACTGCTACCAGAAGCCAAGACCTGGAAAATATATCAAAGGTTAATTTTCCTATCCCACTGCTTCTAGGTTAGGGAGTCCATGCATATCTGATTATGAATGTGTGTACATTGGTATATTTGTGATTGCAGAACTGTAATTATTATTCCTTTTTAATATCGAGTTATATAAAACAATTAGAAATGACAATAGTCTTAAAGTGAAAACTAACCACTTGGCTTGGGTCTACTGGCTTCTAAGGCCTTGGTGCCAAGAAACATTATTCCTAATGTCAATGTAATTTTTCTCTACTGGTTCACTTAAATGGCTAACTTGTCAAAAACTATGCAGAAGGAAAACATTCTCACCAATAATATTCACTTATGCCTATCTTTTAAAAATATCCATTTAATTCAAATTAAAAAGAAAGAACAGAAAGTACAAAAAATAGTTGACTTTTGAGAGGTCAATGCATTGGTCACATTAACCTCAAAATGCTGCATGAGTTGTTAAGAAAATATTATAGTGGGAATAAAGGACTGCCAAAGAGCCTCTATCAATATTTGTTAAAACCATAGCAGTAATTCAGTTTTCATCACCACTTACTAAACAAGTGAACCAGTCAAAATCGTTTCCTTTGGTTAAGAGTCTCCTATGGCAGCAATGTCCACAGTAGCCAAAAATGTTTTCTATTGAGTGTGCAGAAAAATTAAAACAAGGATGGGGGAAGAGCTGAGGAGCCTCTTCAAAAAGAGCCTTCCCCTAAAAGCTCTCACAGAGAGAAAAAATATTTTTGTAACTGTAAGAGGTGACGGATGTTACCCAAACCTATCGTGGTAATCATTTCACAATAATCATTATGCTGTACATTTTAATTTACACAGTGTTATATGTCAGTAAAATCTCAATAAAACTGGGGGTAGGGGAGGGCAGAAATGTAGGTTCACAAGCCTCCCCGGAACTTTTCTGGTATAATCTGAAAGCAGCCCCTTGACATAGAGATCAGAGAGACTCAAGAAAGAAGCAGGCCATTCCATGTTGGTTGGTGGCAATTTTAATAATAGCAAAGGGAATTCACATACAAGACTTGCCTTGTGCAGCAGCAAGAAAACAAATCCCCAAAACCATCCATCGAATCTTAAAAGCTTATAAAGAGGTCTTAACTGGGCTTATTCCCCTATACCATCCAGGTGTAGGTGTTTTCAACACCACATCACTATCTCAAGGCGATGTCCTGGGGGCAGACTCCCCAAGAAGCAAGAAAGCCTAGGGGAACTCTCATTCCAAAGACAGTTGAAAGGGGGAAATGACTCTAAGTGCCTACATCTAGCTCACAGGTCTATCAGTGATCAATCTGTTTTCAGTCACATTCCCCAACAGGAAGTCACCCATAAATTCTCATAACCTCTTGAACGCTGTTTGCCTTTATGAGATTCTGGCAAATGACTGTCGTTATTTATGCATATGTCTTGTCTTCTCAAGTAAGCTGTATTCGTGTTCATTCATTTGACAAATATGTATTGAGCATCTCAGTACACCAGACAGTGTGCTGGGTGCTGGGGACACTTCACTGGGCAAAATAAAAATGTCCACCCTTATGGACCTTATACCCTAGTGGACGAGAGAGGCCGTAAAATGATAAATAAGTAAATTATAGAGTCCACTAGTACATGGGGAGAAATAAACCAGGATAAAGAAATGAGGTTTGCAGTTTTTAAAAACAGGGTGAGCTTCATGAGAAGATTACAACTGAGCAGATGTCTGGAGAGTGAGTGGTGTTGACTGTTTTGAGGGCACTTATCACAGCTTAATCACCAAAAAATGTAGTACAGTTCCTTACATGTGATAAATATTAAATCAATGTTTACCGATTAAATAAAATTCAAAAATGTGGCTAAAACCACACACTAGATTAGTCAAGAATGGTGTGTCTTTAGTACATCAAAACTATGATTCCTACTGATACTAGAGTGTCCCAGCTTTATCCCTAAGACAAAATAAAACAAAAACCTAACACTGAATAATCAGTATGAATGCAGTGAAGTTATGTAAATTTACTGTTACCATTAAAAAAAGAGAGAAAACAGAACAATGCCTCTTCAGGAAACTGACTTTTACTAATCAGCCTCCTATTATTTTAAATCCAGAGTAAGCATTTACATTCCACAGAACCCTTGGGTATATACATCAATTGGTCTTGGCTTTCTGCCCTAAGAACTCTTATGTGCCATGATCAACACTATGTTTGTCAAGAGGGACCTTGCCTTTTAAAGTTTAAATTACAAAGCTATTTCAAATATGTATGTGTATGAATTCAGTGATTAATGCGTAATTATTTCATACTTACAAACTGTTCATCAGTAGTAATTTATATTTTAACTTATATACAACAAAGTTAATACGAGTAAGCTTTTCAATAAATTATTTCACACAGGTATATGCTTATGAATCTATTTAATTAAGCTGTGTTAGAGAATACATATTTTTATACATATTTCATTAGATTCAGTTACAACATAGATTATTTCCAATGGGTATTTCTTATACTACCTTGATTATCAAAAACAGTTTGTATCATCTGCCACCAAACCTGTGCTATGTCAAAAGATATTTTTCTATTATCTATTTAATTACGTCACTTTCAGCTCATCAGTTTCTTAAATGGACATCCTATTTTAAATTATTTGCGAATTCCCAAAATATGTTTTCCAATTATTATTTCTCTAATGAAGATATGTAACTGACCTATATTTACATATGTTTTCTCTACACAGTGATACATTTTAGAAAGAGAATAGTGTGGAAGGTGCAAAAGCTCTGGCTCTCCAAGGCAAGGCCAAAAAAAAAAAAAAGTGATATTTAGTTATATCTTCTGATCTTTACTCTTTAAGTATGAGAGATTTCAATATTAGAGTGAGAACATACAGTTGAGATGTAATTTCGATAAAAATAATAATGTTACTATTCTACTGGGGGTAGTTTTATAGTATCAAAAAAACACCACGGTTTCAAATTCATTGGTAGTAAACATATTAGCTTTCTGGGCCAAAATGAAGAGCCTTTTAAGAAAAGGAGCCGTGCAGTTAGCAATGACGTAAATTAATCAGGGTAGCAGGAATCCGGAGTCAAGGCTGTTTCCACCATCTTGGTCTGACCGCCATACATAATTGGGACCCGATTTGTATAGCATTTGTTTCTGTCATAAGTGTAGCAGGTCTCAGTGTCTTCATCACAGAAATTGCTCTGCGAGGCAATAACTACTTGATTATCCAGCTCCACTTCTACAGGATCACATTTTTTACAGCTGAAAAATAAATACATTCCTTAGACAATCCCCATCAAATGTTGCCTCAGAATCTGAGTGACTGTTCATTCCTATCCAAAATCAGCTAGATCTGACAACGGACAAAACATAACTTCTTCCAGACCTCAGCTACTCTCCAATACAGAATAGTTTATAGGATTTTTCAATCTTTAAAATATAAAAGTTAGTTGAAAGTAAACAATGTAATTAATGCTATGATTGTTTTGTCTACACCATACAGCAACTCCTATTCTGTTAGGTTTGTTTCCACCTGTATACTGGGATTAAACAAATTCTCTATGGTGACAAGGAAAGCAGAATATCTTTAGGAAAAAGAAATTGCTGTTGGATTCCATAGCTTCTAAAGAAAATCTGCATGTTAATATGTCTGAAATCCAATTATTTTACTATTAAGACAAACTGGCCCTTCCTGTACTAATGGCAATAATGTCTTATTTAGAATGAATTTATAGCTAATTTTTATGTGATAAAGTCATAAATTTATGATATCTAATAATTAACATAGAAATTAATGCATTCAGGGATCCCTGGGTGGCGCAGCGGTTTGGCGCCTGCCTTTGGCCCAGGGCACGATCCTGGAGACCCAGGATCGAATCCCATATCGGGCTCCCGGTGCATGGAGCCTGCTTCTCACTCTGCCTGTGTCTGCTTCTCTCTCTCTCTGTGACTATCATAAAATAAAAATAAAATTTAAAAAAAATAAAAAAAAATAAAAAAAAAAAAGAAATTAATGCATTCAAAATCTCAAATTGTATTGGTAAATGTTTGTACCCCATATTTTCAGAAACATTCCTAATAACAAATTTAAAGTTATTAACTTCTATATCTATATTAGCATGAAGGAAAATCTCTTACAGGTCAGACAAATGGTACACAAATTTCGTTCTCACTGGTGAGGTGGGATCGGAGATATTCTCCCTATTGTTCAGAGGAACACTAAAAAAAAAGAAAAAAGAAATCAAAATAATGAAACAAACAGATATTGCTATTTTTGGTGACAGGTATATTGCTGAGACAGTACCTACTATTTCATCGGGAATTTAGTACATTTAGCACTCTAAACACTCTAAAAGCACTCCACAGTAATACTACTGCTCAGATTTCACAGTAATTTGCCATATTTGAAACATTTCTCATTCAAAATAAACCTCACAGAAACTCCTCTGTCAATGATCATTGCTCTCCTGGCAAATCCCTACTTTTCCTTCAAAAACCAGCTCAAGATTTACCCTCTATATAATGATCCATTCTCACTCCTGAACAAACTCCTTCCTCTTCTGTTTCACTGAAGTTCACATATCTTTATTATAACAAATGCCATATCATAGTTGCTTGTCTACAGAGAAGTTGCTTCCCCAGACTACATAAATTCTTTGAGGCAAAACCACTTATGTGTTTTCAGTGCCTTTCTAGATGTGTGGTGTGTAGAATATGTTCAATATTTCTGGAATAAATGGACAGATATTATTATCCGTATTTTTGGAATGCAGAAATTATAAGCCAGAGATCTCAATGACCTACCCAAGTTCACACAACTAAATAGTAAAGCTGTAACTGGACTCGAGACCTCTTGATTTGGTGATGTTCCATGAAAAAAAAAAGTGACATTTATCAACTAGTTGAGGTGATTTAATTTTTACATTTTTTTCATACATGTCATCATTCCTCCACACATGCACCCCTCCCTACCAAATGGCACAAAGGAAAACGTGAAGAGGGATTTAGCAGTACTATCTACATAGATATCAAGCCAAAACCTTAGATACCACCCTGAGTTCCCCCCACCCCGTGATGATCTGTATCTAATCCATCTCACAATTCAACTGATCCGGATTCTTGTTAATCTGTGCACTTGGTTCAAGACACCGCCATTTCTCTCCTAGATTGTAGTCTTGACCCCTCCAACGTATTAGTCACATTATTGCCAAAATGGCCTCTAAACTACAAGCCTGGTATTCTCGGCTTAACAGTGTTTCCACAAAGAAAACAGAATAGCCCTTTGATGGCATAGAAGGCACTTCAGGATATGCCTCCACCTCTCCAGCCCCATCTCTCCCCATACCATCCTCTTTACATGTCAGCTATAAACAACCACTTGCAATTCCACAAATTTACCATGCTTTTCCCATCTCGAAGTCTTAACAATAACAAAAACGTTAAGAGTTCTAACATTAACTAAGTACTTACAGTGTGCCTGGAACTAGGGAAAGCATGTTATGTGATGATCTCATAAAACCCGCACAGCAACCATTTCCTTTTCCTGGAATGATCTGCCTCAACTAGCAACCCTGTCATTCCACACACACATTTACCCGGTTAACTCCCACTCAACCAGCTAAAAGCGTCTTCCACTACTTATTCCAAACACCCCTGCCTGACTCCCACTGCCACTCTCCCTTCACCCTCCAGGATTGGACCAGGTGCCCCTCTTTAGTCTCCTATAACATCGTGTGCTTATTCCTGCCATAGCATTTACAATACTGTATTGTAATTGCCTTTTAAATCATTTAAAGTTCCCTATTAAAAAAAAATAAAGTTCCCTATTAGACTGTAAATTATTTCATGGCATGGACTGTGTTTTATATAAATTGTTGTATCAGCTCCAAACCTCAGTGGAATTCAGTAGAACTCAATAAATGTTTGCCAAATGAATGAATGAGTGAATGGATTTATTCTTCATTAGATTGTAAAGGCTCTAGTAATATCAGAAAAGGCTTTAAATAATGAGAAAGATGATAAACACATATGAGTGTCTACCATGGGTTTTCAAACACTGTCCTAGATGCTTTTGTCTATTAGCATATTTAATTTTGTCCATTTAGCATATTTAATTCTTGCATATTTGGCAGCGTGGGTGGCTCAGTGGTTTAGTGCTGCCTTCAGCCCAGGGCGTGATCCTGGAGACCTGGGATACAGTCCCACTTCGGGTTCCCTGCATGGAGTCTGCTTCTCCCTCTGCCTGTGCCTCTGCCTCTCTCTCTCTCTCTCTCATGAATAAATAAATAAAATCTTTAAAAAAAATTCTCACATAAAGTCTATGTGTACATATAAATACATAGATAATTATCTAACAGGTTCATGTAAGTGCTACATATCAAAAAGAGGAGTAGAGGGGCACCTGGGCGGCTCAGTTGGTTAAGTGGCTCACTCTTGATTTCGGCTCAGGTTATGATCTCAGGGCTGTGAGATAGAGCTCCCCAAAGAGCACCAGGCTGGGCATGGAGCCTGCTTAAGAGTCTCTCTTCCCTCTGCCCCTCTCCCCACCCCACTCTCTCACATGTGTGTTCTCTAAAGAAAGAAAAGGAAAGGAGTAGAGACATAGGTATTACATTCAAACAATGGCTAATATCAGAAAGTATCTCTGCTTACAACATGAAGAAAAAAGAAATTTAAAGTGCCACGTACATAATTCTGATGTTTCTCTCCACAATGTCTTCATTAGGATCATCGGGAGAAGGGATGATCCTGGAAGTAATCCGGGCACACTTACATTTGTTGTCAACAAGAACAGTCCTTTCTTCTTCATCTTGGGCTAAAAAGACAAAACGTATTAAGAAGAAAGGGGAGAAAGGCCTATTCGTATAGTTTTATTGAGTTAATTTATCTTTTTTCAGTAGAAAAATCAATTCTTATGATCAGTTTCAGCTTTCTCCCCCCCCCCTTTTTTTTTAAGATTTTATTTATTTATTCATGAGAAACAGAGAGACAAAGACATAGGCAGAGGGAGAAGCAGGCTCCATGCAAGGAGCCCGATGTGAGACAACCCCAGGACCCTGGGATCACACTCTGAGCTGATGGCAAAAGCTCAACTGCTGAGCCATCCAGGAGTCCCCAGCTTTCTCCATTTTTGTTCCCTTTCCTAATCTAAAATGCTAAGTGGAATCTCACAGCATCATGAAGGAAATCCAAATGCCCTCCAAACAAATTGTTTTCTTTTTCCCTTACACCAGTCTGTGGGAACCTGGGCTAGTTTTCACCTAATGCTTTTAACAGAGGCACAGCGTTCTGAATAATGTAGCCTTGTAAAAATCAGTGCCAAATGACAAAATAATAGACTAGATTTCTCTCAGGCCAAAGTAATTATTAAAAAATGAACAAAAAATAACATCAGACTTTTAAGTCCTAGTTTGAAGTGTAACATCCTTCTTGAACTCCCACTTACACACTTTTTTTTCTCCTTAGATTGAATAAGAGTTAGGAACAGGAGAAAAAAAGGGGGGTGGGCAGCCCGGGTGGCTCAGCAGTTTAGTGCTGCCTTCAGCCTGGGGTGTGATCCTGGAGACCTGGGGTCAAGTCCAACATCGGGCTCCCTGCATCGAGCCTGCTTCTCCCTCTGCCTGTGTCGCTGCCTCTCTCTGTGTGTGTGTATGTGTCTCATGAATAAATAAATAAAATCTTTAAAAAAAAAAAAAGTTAAGAACAGGCTCATTTGGGGGCACCTGGGTGGCTCAATGTTTGAGCATCTACCTTTGGCTCAGGTCATGATCCTGAGGTCCTGGGATCGAGTCCTGCATCAGCCCCCCGCAAGGATCCTGCTTCTCCCTCTGCCTCTCTCTGTCTCTCTCATTCTGTGTCTCTCATGTATTAAAAAAAAAGACAAAAAAAAATAAAACAGGTACCATCTTCCCCAATATAAGCCTACTTTGTGAGACCTTTAAATATTCTACACTATAATTTTCCCAAACTTGATTATATTCTTCTTTTTCATAATAACAATCAGGTTATTATTGCATAAGGATTCAAATAAAATAATAAGTGCTATATTTACGAATATTTCTTATAAGAATTATTTTTAAAGATATGGCATAGATAGATGTAAAGTGCTATAAATTTGCAAAAACAATTAAACAATAATAATGATGTTTGATACATTTTTGTTCTATTTTGTTTTTAAATTAAACTTTTTATTTTTAGATCACTGTAAATTCATATGCAGTCATAATAAATACTAGAGAGAGAACCCACGTACATTTTACCCAGTTTTTCCCAGTGGTAACATCCTGTAAAACTATAGTACAATTTCCCAACTAGAATACTGAATTTGATAGAATTTACTAATATGAGCTTTTACTCAATGTAGGGTACTTAAACAAAAAAACTTTTAACACAATACCATAAAATTAACCCATTAAATATGTTTTTTTATTTCTATAATTTTAACTAAATGACCTTTAAAATTTCCTCCCATCAAGCCTCAACTTAAAAAAAATATTTAGCACATTAATCCAAGTTATAAAGGTTAAATGATCGGGATATATATAATTGTAACAGGAAGTCTAATTATTTCAGAGGTGTCCCAGAGCAGAAAGGACCTAATTCCAGTATTTCAGTCCCGATGATAGCAGTCATTACAAAAACACTTTAGACCATTGTTTTGTACTTCTAATTGTTGGAAGTACTTTACAAGCATTATTATGGCATTATTCATAACTTTTTAATACATCTTCTGATAAAAGTGTATAGTATTGGAAAAGAAACATCAGGAATTCAATCCAAGATAATAATATAACTCTTCTTAACATTTTGAAAAGAATGAGATGACTTATTTTGTATTCTCTTTGCTACTCCTATATTCCTAAATGTTTTTTCTTTTTTAGTTTAAATTCAATTAATTAGCATATAGTGTTTTATTAGTTTCAAAGATAGAGTTTAGTGATTCATCGGTTGCACATAATACTCAGTGTTCATTTTTTCAAGTGCCCTCCTTAATGCCCATCACCCAGTTACCCCATCCCCCACCCACCTCCCCTCTAGCAACCTTCAGTTTGTTTCCTATAGTTAAGAGTCTCTCATGGTTTGTCTCCCTCTCCAACTTCATCTTATTCTGTTAAATGTTTTTCTCAATAAAACGCAAACGAATGTGTAATGCCTGACCAAAAATACAGACTGAGTATGAGACTTGACTATTAAGTCTTAAATAGAAAATTTCTGTATTTTACTTATAGCATATAACTTATTTTCTTACCAGAAACCTAGGAAATAGCTATCACTTTTTATTACTATTTACTGTTATTACATAAAAATATTAGGCAGCCTAACATATCTACCAGAAAATGTACAAATACAGTTAATTCACCAGGACTTATAAAATTCTAACGTTCTCACTGACAGGCAATATTTTTCCAAATAAATCTGTTGTTATAGATTGTGCCTTGCTTTATCCAAGAGTACCTGAGACATATACCAGGTGCTCAGTAAATATTATTAAATTTAATTTAGTTCAAACAAATAAGAAAATATACTTAACAACACATACTTGATATGAACATAATGAGTTTACTAAAAGGTGATTCTTCAATACAGGCAAAATAGGACAGAAGTTAGGAGTGTGGGCTATAGGGTCCAATACCCTGGGTTCTACCTACCACATGTTTACTGTGTGACTGTAGGTAAGTTATTTCATCTTTTTAAATCACAGTGGACTCAACTATATGTTAGAAATATTAATAGTACCTATCCTCAAATGGTTATTGTGAGAATTAAATGGTATAGTACATGTAAAGCAGTAAGCATAATGCCTGGAAAATAGTATGTACTCAATAAATGATAGATCTTTTATATATATTTTAGGTATATAAACATGTTCATAAACATGCACTTATGATGTATAATTATAAATACTGTACATGTTTTAATACTATCATTGTGTTTAAATATTATTAGAAATTTATTATTTCTAATGCTAAATTAGTTAAAAATAAATGTAAAATGACTATTCTTAATTACATCATACCCTGTTCTGAAATAAGAATAGTAAGCTCAGTAAGTGTTAGAAACAATCAGGCCAAATTATATCACTTCTAACTCATTACCCTTCTCGGTGAAAATTACTACATATTCAGAGTGTATTCCATTTTCTGCATTAGTTTGAAAGGTTAACAAACAAAATACCCAAAGTTATGCCATCAAGTCATAGGCAACCTGTGTAACATTAAACATTGTTAAAGTTTACATAATAAATCTGTAGGCTCAGATCCAGGAAAGTTGTTAGAACTAATATCAGACTCTGGGGAAGTAAAATCCCAATGCATTCCATATTGTGGTTATAGTAATTATTACTTCATTTCTCCAAAATATTTATTTAAGATACTCAAGGAGATGATTACTTATTTTCAAGATTCAATATGAATATTTATATAAGTATAGCTATCAATACTTATCCAGAAATACATATTTTCTAAGTTATAGTAGGCAAATGAATAAGAGAAAAAAAAGAATATAAAAAGAATTACAATGAATCTTCTCTACAAAAGATCACTGCCCATATAAAGATTAAGGCATGTTAGAAAAAGCAGCCAGCTAGCTAGCTAACCAAAGCACAAACACAAATTTTTAAATCTGAAGAGCAGATCTGTGTTATATTTTTCCTTTTATGTGGGTTAATTTTCAAAATACCACATACCTGTCACAAGAACAGCCTTAACAAAAATGGCTAGGACTCCCCAGAAAAGCAAATAGTTCTTCATCATGACTTCACTTCTTTTTGAGAAACTGAAGCTAAAAAGTCAGGGTTAAGGTGTGTGATCTATAAGGAATGTGCAAATGATGGCGCTTCTGCTTTCTTAAAATAACACTCGAGGTAGCTAACAAACTAAAAACAATCACAACTGCGGTTGGAGTCTGAAATTCAAATGCTGCACTAGACAGATTACCCTATTTTCTTCTAAAGTATCGCCCCAAAAGCCATGATTGATGCAATTATTCTTTATTTTACATTTACTGTATAATATTAAACCAAGAAGATTAATGATAATTTCAAGTAGGAGTACATTACGAATGTTTAAATAGGCGTTCTCAACTTTATTTCCTAGATAATAAAGTTTTCAAATCAAATATGTGACATTTGTTGTGCCCAGAACAGAAACTGAAGAGAAGAAATTCATTTAAAGCCTTTGAAGGAAAAAATAAATAAATAAATAAATAAATAAATAAATAAATAAATAAATAAAATTAAAAAAAAATAAAGCCTTTGAAGGTCCCAACTGTATCTTACGTCAACTTTTTCTCCAGGTCCTTAATTAACCAAGCTACCATATTTAAATATACATATTATATATGATATACCTAATATATACATATTCTGATTGCTTTCAGTTATTATATAAACTCAAACATGAAATTGGAATTTGAAACAGATGGGTACTAGATGTATCAGTTGCCATGGTTTAATTTGATAGCATTAAGGCAGACCTTGTGTTTGATCATCTAGTAACAGCTTTCAGAATTATAAACCCATGAAATGATCTTCATTTGAGATGCCTCAATAGAAAACTGAATCACTACAGGATATTTTGTAAGTTTTTGTCATTAATGAGTGTCAAAAAGCAAACAAACTAACAAACAAACAAATAAACAAAACTCTGAGCTTTTGGACAGGACTGCCTCAATATGTTAAGAATTTCCTGTCTCTTAGGCAAGGCTGGTTCCAAGAACATGTTGGTTATATATATATATATGCAACATCAAATCTATGTTACTTTTGGTTCTCAGTTCTCTAATTTTTTTAAGGGTCTCCTAGAATTTTGAGAGGCACTAAAGAAATATTTCAGGATCATAAGTAGGCAAGCAGATTTCATAGCTAACGGCAGAAGACAGCAGAATAAAAACTAATCATTAAAGGCTGGCACATAATTGCACTCTTTCAATCATGTACTGAATGTCTAACATGAACAAAGTGCCAGACACTAGAACATACAATGCTACTATACTGTCAAACTGTACTTTCATTTTAATTTCTACTACCATAGAACTTAGAAACTATTTGGGGTTAAGGAAAACATACTGGATCCACATGAACAATCGTATCTATAGAGAAAAAAATAAATCTGGAAGCACATTATTTTAGTGTATGGTCAGGATGTCAAAACAACTATCAACACTAACTCTAACTGTAGTTTCTAAATGACTGATTTATTTATTCACTCTAAAACAGAGTAATTAGAAGTTAGCTGGATACTATTTTTTTTTAAGTCATTATTTCCTTGAAAATAAACTCAAGGCTAGATTTCCTCACCAAAGCAAATTGAGTAAATCTCTGGGGACAAAATTTTCCCCTAAAACTTGTTTTGTTTTTAATAAAGCAAATATTATTTAATCCATAGTTACTAAGCTAAAGAAAAGTTCCATAGTTACTAAGCTAAAGAAAAGTTCTATATTTGATGTTTCTATTCTTTCAATTTTACAATTTTATATTTCTATTATGGAAACTATGCATCTAAAGGAAAAAAAATAAAAGAGATTTACCCAATAAAAATAAGGTGTGGAAACAAAGTGGCACTTTTGCCACCAAAAAGGAATTACCCATACCTGCAATATAGGATCAGGACCAGAGTATTGCCAAGCATGGTCCAAGGATTATTTTCTCTAGAACCATGTGGAGTACTAGACAAAATATGGATTTCCTGGCTACATCCAATCAGAATTTCTGGAGATATGACTTGTAATGTGTATTTTTAAAAGCCTTCCAGTTGATACTTATGTAAAGTTTGAAAATTTGTAGACTAGAAGCATGAGAGGGAGGGTGATAGCTAGCAGTGTCATCTATTTATAGAAGACCAAGGGGTCATTAAAGGTGATTTTAAAAAAATAAATAGGCTTACATTGAAAATAATTCTGTTATATAGGCAAATTAGTTCATAATTTTTAGCACTAACCAATTATATATAAATAACAGGTCCTGGTTTAATTTTTAAACCATTTCATCTCCAGTTGTAGTTATTTTCTTCACACCAAAATATGTGAATAGTAGAACACTTTCCATGCAAGTGAGCTAAGTTACTGGGAGCTCAGCCACATGTTCTAAATTCTTCACCAAAAACGGTTTATTTTTCTACATTCATATATAAGATTCTTCTAATAAGAGGTTCAGGGATGGATGAAAGAGATCCTAACGTAATCTAGTCTTATCTTCTTTACTCCCACTCCGGTTTTATTTCAATTTCCTATACAGCAGACAGTCTGAGTTCAGCATTTGTTTAAAAACCATCTGAAATAGGTTGATGCATCACTTCCTCACAGCTTATTATATATTTGAGATATTCAAGTCATGAAAAAGACTATTCTCTTGGGACACAGAGAAGACACTCTCCTTGTTTTGCTCCTATCTCATAAGTTACTCTTTCTCTGTCTCTTGCTGAATTTTCCAATGAATACTGAAGTTTGATCCTCAGCCTATTCTTTTCTCTCATCCTCTCCTTAATTAACTTTATCTGATCCCATGGCTTTGACTACAGGACATGTTGTGACTTTCAAGTGCATAATTCTGGGGTAGCCCAGGTGGCTTGGCAGTTTGGCGCTGCCTTCAGCCCAGGGTGTGATCCTGGAGACCCGGGATCGAGTCCCACCTCGGGCTCCCTGCATGGAGCCTGCTCCTCCCTCTGCCTGTGTTTCTCTCTTTGTGTCTCTCATGAATAAATAAAATCCTAAAAAAAAAAAAGATTCAAGTGCATAATTCTAGACTTTGCCTTGCCCATTGAGCTCTAAACTCCTACATCCAACTTTCCATTTGATATTTCCACTTGTCTGCCTAACAAGTATCCAAAATTTAACCAGGCAAAACAATACTCTTGATAATCAAGCCACCCACACACCTCCAATCCAATATTTTACTGTCTCTAGTCTTACTTATCTCAGTAAATCCACCTGTTTTTTTTTCTTTTTCTTAATATTTTATTTATTTATTCACAAGAGACACAGAGAGAGAGAGGCAGAGACACATGCAGAGGGAGAAGCAGGCTCCATGCAGGGAGCCCGACGTGGGACTCGATCCCAGTCTCCAGGATCAGGCCCTGGGCTGAAAGCGGCGCTAAACTGCCGAGCCCCCCCGGCTGCCCTCCACCTGGTTTTTTAAGCCAAAATCCTTTTTTTTGATTCCCTTGTTTTCTTCTTCCCCATATTTAGTTTACCACCATATCCTGTTGGTTTTATTTGGAGAATATATCTCAAATTTATCTGATTCTCTCCATTTTCACTGCCACTCTGGTCCAAGTCTCTATCCTCCATCCTGGACGATTACAATAGCCTCAATCATGAAGTTATTCTTCCTTTGCCCTAGCAATGGCTACTATGGCTCACAGCTAACAAGAATAGCTAAGTATCCTAAATTCTAAAGAGAGTCAGACACTTCCTCCAAGCCTTACCAGGAGGCAAAAGAACTCAATTTATGACCATCAACCACCAACCCCAATCCTGAGCTCTCTCCTCTAGTCTTTAGAGGACATTGGAGGGAAAAGGGAAATGATATCATTGGAGTTGTTGGCTTTGTGGAAATACTAGTGTTTGTGGTAAGACACTTTCCCCCTTTACTCTTGGGAGAGGGAAATACAGGGGCCTTTTTCCTCCCCAAGGTCAAGTGAGGGAAAGATTCAAGAAAATAATTCAAAGAAATCAGGGACTCTGCAAAAAGGGAAAACTGAAAAGCAATAGAGCATAATAGCTAAGAGAAAGGATTTTGAGTCTGACTGCATGAGTTTTTTCCCAATTCATCATTTACTAGCTCTGTGAAGTTGGTAAACTGAGCACTCATTTGACTTCTATCTGTAAAATGAGGATAATAACAATATATATTTCATAGGGTTATTGTGGAGCTTAACATGTATTATAACATATAAAGCAGTTAGAAAAGATCTTGGCATATGGTAAGCACTCCATAAGTAGTAGTGATTATCATCAGAACCATCATCATTATGTCGGTCACTCCCTGTTGAGTTGCAGAAAATGCAAACCCAGCTTAGAGCTGTCTACTGCAGTGAAGTTTGAAGAAAGCATTCATGGGAGAACTGGACACTTCCCCTTGGGTTGTGGGCATGTAGGAACATAGAAACTGAGATGTGCTCGTGCTATATGACCATTATAAGGTATAAATGAAAGTATCTTTAAAAGGCTATAATAACCAAAACAATATGTTACTGACATAAAAAACAGACACATATAAAATAAAAAACAAACAAAAACAAATACACAGAGCAATGGAACAGAATCTAGAGCTCAGAAATAAATTCACACAGATAGGGTTTACTATTATTTGACAAGGGAGATGAGAATATTCAATGGCAAAAGGAAAGTCTTTTCAATAAATGGTCTTGGGAAAATTGGATATTCATATGCAAAAGAGTGAAACTGGATCCCTATCTTCCACCATTCACAAAAATTAACTTGAAATGGATTAAGGACAAAAACGCAAGACCTAAAACCATAAAACTCCTAGACAAAAACAGTAAAAAAGTTCCTTGACATTGGCCTTGGCAATGAGTTTTTGGATATGCCACCAAAAGCATAAATAACAAAAGCAAAAATCAACAACTGGAACTGCATCAAACTAAAATCTTTTGCAGAGCAAAAGAAATAATCAACAAAATTAAAATGCAATTTACAGAATGGGAGAAAATATTTGCAAACCATATATCTGATAAGAAATTAACATACAGAAGATACAAGGAACCAATACAACTCCATAGCAAAAAACCCAAACAATCTGATTTAAAAATGGATACAGGACTTGAACAGACATTTCTCCAAAAAAGACATTCAAATGACTAACATGTACATGAAAGGTGCTCAAC